TCAAGGTCTTGTCCGAATGCTTGACAAGAAGCTCGTTCAGGGCATGACTGCTACGAACTGAAATGTGAATTTTTGCATGAATTGCGCGGAAGCAAAGCAAGCTCGCCGACCTAAGAACACGAATGATACTTCCACCTCAACCCCAACGGATGAACCAGGTGCAACACTTTGCGTAGACTTGAAGACCGATATGACCCCAGATCGACTCGGACACAAGCACTTACTAACGATTGTCGACCACGCTACAAATTTCAAGCGGGTGTATCTCCTTTATAAAAAGAGTGATGCAGAGGGGAATATTGAAGACTTCATTAATGAGTTTGAACGCCAGTATGACACCAAGCTGAAGGTCCTCCGATCTGACGGAGGAGGTGAATTTGGTAGCACGCGCCTTGATCGTTTCCTGTTGAATCGAGGAATTCGACATCAGTCACCCGAGGCTGGCATGTCCTCGTCAAACGGAAAAGGACGAGAGCTTTCACAGAACTGTAATGGATTCGACCCGAGCGATGCTGTGGGCCTCCGCGTTGCCTAACTTGCCGACCAGATCGAACGCAGATCACGTGTCACCGATCGAAGTTCTCTCGGGTAAAACACGGTTTGGAGCTAAGTGTACCAGTTATGTTGCCCATGCAAATAAATAAAACGTGCTGAGAAAGGAATCGTTATCGGTGTTGACACCCAAAAGAAGGCATACAAGGTTTTCATTTCGCGTATCAAGCGTATCGTGTCCACTACTCACATTCAAAATATTGATCACATTGATGCGCGAGCTGGGGGGGGGGGGGATATATGGATGCCGTCGACAAAGCGCAAAACAGCGGTGACATTTCGACCAACATCGACGGACAAGCAAATACGGACACACATGATGATCAAACGGAAGTCAATGACCTGCAACACGAAGATGCGGTAGGCAATCATGAACTGAGTGCACGCGCAATCCAGCGCGTCTTTGGCCTGAACCGCGGTGCCCGGCCACTTCCAACTGACGACTTTACCTTGCCTCAGTCCTTTATCGATGAGTTTTCGACTCCTGTGAGTGCACTTCTCACTGTGTCACTTCAAGGCGGGCAGTATTATCGACACTACTCAAGAGTGAGAACATTAAAGAGCCGACAACTGTCAAGCCTAGACTAATCAAGCATTGGCCAGCATGAGAGACGGCGATGGAGGAGGAGCTGCGAGTTATCGCCGAAAACGCAACGTGGGAAATTGGCGTTAGATTGATCATCAATTATAGGACATGAGATGACATGTTTGATCATATTTGGAGATGGCTGAGCATTTTTGAGCTCGACAGGCTAGGCACTTAGCATTAGAATGGGCCTTTTCACCCTTAACTCGAGGCGCAGTGATCTCAAACAGACCCCCAAGTCTTGTGCTGAAGCGGCGCCATTGAAAGTTAACTGACACTGATAGACACGTGGTGGCGAGAGATTTAACACCTTGGATCTAGCAGCAGCGCTTGCCAACTGAGTGATTGCTTCTTATCAAGCGAGCTTGAGACGGTGTCAGCCGGGAGTGTAGCGGCTAAAAATGCTCTTTAAGGTGCGTTCTTAAGAATGCGGACTGACAGGAGGGGGGGGGGGGGG